GGGAAAGAGGGGGTAGGGGCAGAGAAGAGTTACTCTGATCTTCTAAATAATAATGAAATACTGACATCTTGTGTTATAGGACAGTGGTTCTCAACCAGCGGTCATTTTGCCACCCTGGGGTGGTGGGGGGGTCATTTGGTCACAGCTGGAGACATTTTTGATTGTCAGACATGGGAAGGGAGGTGCTACCCGGCTTCTAGTGGCTAGAGGCCAGGGATGCTGCCAAACATCCTACTATAAGTGCAGGACAGCCCCCCCCAAAATAATTCTGCATCCCCAAAAGTTAGGAGTTGGAGAAACCGTTATAGCTTAAGAGAACTCAAAGTCCTGAACATCCTCACCACTGTTTGAAAAAGCCTGCTCTTCCTAGACTCAAGTATCAAAAGCCCGCCTCTCACCTTTTCCCCCAAGTACCCACACAAACCTTGCAATGCCCGTGGACAGGATGGCAGTGGAGGTCTTCAGCTCCTCGTAGAGATCAGCGCCATTGAAGGGGAAAGCTGAGAACTGAGCCAGCAGCACCCGCCGCAGGGCGACCAGGGCCTGCGGAAGGGGCGGGGAAACTCAGGAGAGGGCCGGGGCGCTCAGACCCGAAGCAGCCCAGAGTACTCGGCCGTGACCCGCCAACGGAGGAGGCCCCCAGGGTCTCATACGGCCCCCTTATCAATCTCTGGGAACCCTCTGCTCAGGGATGGGCATTTAGAGACATCCAGGTTTGGAGCGGAGATTGTCAGCTCACCTTATAAGACAAGCCACATTTCTGGGCTACTTCCTCCAGGTCTGCTGAAACCAGGTCCACCACTGAAAACAAAACACAGGGGGTTTGGTGGGCAGGAAGGGAGGCTCGGGGGCCTCGCTCCCTTGACTTTTCCTCGCCTACGTAGACTAGCTGAGCCGCAGGACCTGGCGTGGTGCCTGGCACACAGTGGGAGTTCTACCCTTCCTGGGGCGTGGCTAGCTCGCTCCCACCTTCCCGGGCTCTCAAGGAGGCTGTGGGCGGAGGATGGGGGGAGAGGCCCCCCACTCCCGGGTGTGCCAGGGCCGGGGCCGGCCTCCGCGCTGGGCCCGGCCGCGTGGCCCGCACTGGCGCACGCCTGCGATCACCTGTCTTGATCCCGCGGCTCCGCAGAAGCTGGACCATGTCCTGGGTGAGACCCGGGCACAGTCCGGCCCGGAGCACGCCCATGTTCCCTGGGGGCCCGGGGCCGCTCGTCCCGGGCACATCCGTGGGGCCCTTTCTGGACCAGCGCGGGAGGCGGGAGGGAGGCGGGAGGGAGGCTGGAGGCGGAGGCGGCGCGGAGGGTGCGGAGCCTGCGGGGACGCCGGCACCCACAGTCCTCCCGCTCGGACCGCGCCGCAGCTTCCGGATTCCAGGTTCCAGGGCCCGGCCTGCGGCTCCACCTGCTGGCCACGGGCCGGATGCGCGAGCCGGGCGGTTGGGGCGGAGACTGCGCGGGCGGCACGGAGCCGGCTCCCCTGCGCCGAGGCCACCGCGCCCAGATCTGCCACCCTGCGCCCGCATGCGTCTCTGCCTTCTCCCAGATCTCGCCTCCCTGCAGGCCTCCCAGGTGCAGCCTTCTGTTCTGAACACTGGGCCAGAACGTTCGATCGGACTGACCATCCCTACGCTCAGGGACGTACTTGTTAGTGAGGGAAGACAGGAAAGAGGAAATCAAATAAATCAGATAATTACCGATCGTTTGATGGGTGCTAAAAAGCAGCAGAGCACAGAGAGGGCATCTGCTTCTCTATTTTCCAAATAAAAGAATTTGTAAATGAAAGACAACAAAAACCCTGAGTATATAGAACACACACACACACACACACACACACACACACACACACACACAATTTGGTATTTTTAAATGTCCTTTGCTTGACCTAATCCTCTGGAAGAAAGAAAACAACTTTACAGGGTTATCTCCTCACAATCCAGTAAGGTAGGTGCTATGTTTATTCCTATTTTACAGATGAGGAAACTGAGGTGCAAAGAGGTGAAGTCATTTGCCAAAGGTTTCACAGCCTGTAAGGGCAAAGCTGGACTTAGAGTGGACAAAACCACATGTAGGTGCAAAGCTAGTGCTGTTTTAACAGCGCCCCCGTCCCCACCCCCCGAAGTATGTTTTCCTACTATGACATGGGTTTTTTTTTATTTTTAAAAAATTTTATTTATTTTATATTTAGGCCACACCTGCTGCATGCAGGATCTTCATTGAGGCATGTGGGATCTAGTTCCCTGACCAGGGATTGAACCTGGGCCCCCTGCATTGGGAACATAGAGTCTTAGCCACTGGACCACCAGGGAAGTCCCCCTGCTGTGACATGGTTTCCTTGAGAAAAAGAAACAACACAACGTCTGGCCCATTTCTGTATGCCTCTGCATCACCCACCGTTGTCACTCAACACATGAAGACACTTGGGGTGAGGGTGTGGCAGAATTTAGAATTCCAGCAGTAAAACCTGGGTGTATGTGAGCTATGAACCTCATGAACCATCCGAGCTTTCCCTGTGCCTACACAACTGGACGAAGGGGGTTTGCTGCCTAGGATTTCTGGATATAGAGTCTCAGGATTCTATAGACAAAGTTCCCCACTACCAGAGGCCCAGACCAGTACTGCCTGCCTCCCTCCATGCCCAGGTGCCTTTGTATCACCGTCTATCTCCTCCTTCCTAGGTCAGGTCCGAAGGGCACCAGTGGTGAGTATTCTGAGATTTTCAGAGAAGGGCAGGGCTGCTGTAACCACAGAGCCTTAGCCCAAGGGGTGTTGTAGTCTCTTCCTTGACTCTACCCACTCCTGACATTGGCCCTGGGCAGCAGCAGCCTCAGATCAAGGGGGAGGCTGGCCCCTAATTGTTACACTCTCTGGTGATTATGAAGTCAGCGCATTGCACTCCCATCCCACCCAAACTAAGGGTGTGTCCTCTGCCTCCAGTTTCTCTCTGCTTCCTGTCAGCTTGGTAGTCCTGCATGGTGACGGCTGTGGTCCCAAACAAGGTAGATGGCATCAGAGACACTCTACAAACTGGGAGATGGGGAGGAGACCACACTGAAGAAGGAAACCCTCAACGTTTTGAACGCACTCGATCAAATGTCGAAGCCCTTTCCAAACCCCAAGTCTATGAACAGGACCGTCACTACCAAAGGACTCCCATTTTCCTCAAGGGGCAGTTTGGTTAACTTCTCGGAGGAAGATGCCATCCACCTACCGTAAGACACAAGTCTGGTCCTTTTCTCCTTTCTAAAACGAGACCTGGGGGGTGGGGGTGGGAAGAGGGGCTTGAAGAGGCAGTACTTCCTTGACTTATCACAGTCACGACTCCCAGGGAAGAGCATGTGTGCAGGTTGCCTATGGAGTCCTGACCTCTGATCAGGTTCTTGGAGGCATGCCGTCCTCCGCCTCTGGGAGGCCTTCCAGGATTAGTCAGAGATTTCCTGGCGGTGCTTGTCATCTTGCTTTGTCCTTGTCATCCTGCTTTGTCCTCATCACCCCCACACAGACCCCCTGCCCGCTCCACTCCCCACGGCTCCTTTGCCTCATCCTCCCTATTGTACCTTCACCTGCCTGGTTACGTGCCCCCAGTAGCCTGCCTGCCTTCAGATTGAGGTTTGCTGTTCCTCCTCAGTGATTCTGGGTTTCTTTTACTTCATTTCACAAAACTCTTTGAGCACTTACAAGGTATCTGGCCCAAGGTTAAGTTCTGAGAATGCAGAGCCAGAAAGCACAGTCTCTGCCTTCAAGGAGCTCCCAGCCTGGGGTGTGTGTGTGTGTGTGTGTGTGTGTGTGTGTGTGTGCGTGCGCATGTGCGTGTGTGCGTGTGTGTGCGTGTGTTTGTGTGTTGGGGGCCTATCAGGCAAGAACTGAGAATATTACAGCATGGTCTGCGCTATGACGGGACAACTGGAGGAGCCAGAGGAGGCTTAGTGTAGCTTGGGAGGAGGTGAAGTTAAGGGAGGCTTCATGGAGGACGTGACTCTCATAGGAAGGGAAGGAATTAGCCAGTGGAGGGATGGTGGTGTGGGTTGATGTGGACTGAGGGAACTGTCTGCCGGGAAGTTTCATGGGTGTGTGACCTGGGCAGTCACACACAGCCCGACACTTAGAAGTGCCCTGTGCTTAGTTTAATGCTCAGATGTCACTGTCCTGAAATTCTTAATAATTTCTGAAGAAGGGGTCCTGATTATATAAAAGGGATATGGTGTCCACTCCCTAAGGGACCTGTAAGTAAGCAGGTATGGCTAAAGTGATGGATGCTTGTAGGAAACTTCCTGGTATGGGGCGAAAGTCTTGGGCTAGGAGGCCAAGTTTAAATCCAAGTTCTACCATTTAGATATAGGGCCATAGACAAGTTAAATAAGATCAGGGACCCTCGGTCCCACATTTGTAAAATGGGGCCAACACCATCCAGCAGGGCTACTGTGAAGATCACTAAGGCTGCCTTCCACGCCCCTTCAGCACTGGTGTTTCCAGTCAGTAAGTCTAAAATAGAGATGCGTTAGGACAATGTATAGTAAAACTGACATCCATACCCAGACTCTTCAGCCTATAAAGGGCCTTGGTGGGGGAATCATCTATTCCAAGCATCCACCAAGGGCTAACATAGGAGGTTTGGGCTGATCAGGATTTCTCAGGGGGAGGTTGATGGGGCTGGAACTCAAGGAGGAAAAATTTGGCCTTGATCAACCAACCATGAAGCTGGAGGCTGTCCTGGCATAAGGGATGTAGGGGTGTGTGTAGGTTGCTGGATCTGGCTAGAGCAGCCCGGGGAGAAGGGGGACGAAGCAGTGGAGGGGAGCCAGAAAGCACCAGGGGCAGATGGGAGCTGTGTAGCATGGGGCCCAGGAGATCTGGGTTCTGGTTCCAACTCTGCCATGGACTCATCGTGTGACCTTGGTCAAGGTGCTTGGTCCCCAAAGGCCTTGTGACCACTCTCTCTAGACAGGGTTCTTCAGACTGAGAGTTGTGACTCATTTTGGTTGGTGGAGACCAGTATTACAAAAATGAAATAAAATAGAATTGAAAATTTCAAAGCACATCACACACAGAGTAAGGATTGGTTTGTGAAACATTTTAGTTACATGTGTATGTATGAGTATACTAGCTTGCCAAGAAATATGTATTTCTTACTTTGGCTTAAGAGAAAAAAAAGATTTGAAAGCCAAATGTTTTGGATTCTGTACTTGAACAGCAAAACCTTTTAAAGAGCAGGGAAACATGTACAAGGTTTTTCTTTGTAATAGCAAAGAATTGGTTAGAATACAAATATCTATGTAATAGAAAACATACAGCGGTTAAAATGATTGAACCAGAGCAGATTAATCTAAAATATACAATGTTTTAAGTAAAAAACAGCAAGCTGCAAATGGGTATGTACTGAATGATAACATACATTTATATAAAGTTTAAAAATATGCAAACTAATAACATATGAAAGTAACAAACCTATAAAGACACATGGGGAATAATAAATACAAAATTTTAAATTTACTGCACAAGCTACCTCTGAGTGGGAGGATGAGGAGAGAGGTGGAGGAGTGAAGTATACAGGGGCCTTTAACTGCACTGATAAAGATTTAGTTCTGGGCTTCCCTGGTGGTGCAGTGGTTAAGAGTCCACCTGTTGGGTTCGTGCCCCGATGCGGAAGGATCCCACATGCCGCGGAGCGGCTGGGCCCGTGAGCCATGGCCGCTGAGCCTGCGTGTCTGGAGCCTGTGCTCCACAACGGGAGAGGCCACAACAGTGAGAGGCCCGCGGACCGCAAAAAACAAAAAACAAAAAACAAAAAAAAACATTTTGTTCTGAGCTGGATGGTGGCTAAATGGAAGCTTAATATATTATAGTATGTTCATTTCCAATTTTATTGAGACACAATTGAATTTTAACAATGCATTAGTTTAAGGTGTACAACATGATTTATAATTGTATATATTGTTAGATCATTACCTTAGTAAGCGTAGTTAACATCCATCACCACAGAGTTACAAATTTTTTGTGTGTGTGATGAGAACTCTTAAGATCTAAGTCTCTTAGCAACTTTCAAATATACAATACAATATTGTTAATTATAGCCACCATTTTGTACATTACATCCCCATTAATATATTACTCTTGATATCTTGGAGTGTGTCTGAAAGCTTTCATAATTTAAAAAATTTAGAATGGAAGAAAAAAGTTTTTGAGAATTCATCCCTATATATATATTTATCTGTACTGTTAATTTTTACATGCTATATATTAATACATATTGTTAAATGTTATAAAACCTAAGTAAATAAATTAGTAATTACATAATAAACAATAGTGAATAAGTATTAATAAAACTTAATTTATTATTTTTCTTTTAGATACTTTTAGATATTTTTCCATATCCTGGTAGATCATTGTGGTCATTCCCTGGGGTGTTTGCACCCCACTTTGGAGGAAGGACTTAAAGTTTCAGCAGTGTTTCTAAAAATGTGGTTCTCAGAATGCTTGCATCAGAATCATCTGAGGATCTTATTAAAGATGCTTTAGCAGCTTCCCCAGTCCCATTCCGTCTGGGGACCAGGGACCAGGAATATGCATTTTTCACTAGTAAGTGTCCTCGTGAGTTTGATGCACTGCTGCAGAGCAAGAATGTTCTGAGCTGCTCAGAAGCAGCTGGAGGCGCTGGGTAAGTTGTGCCCAAGGCTGCCCGCCAGGAGCTTCCAGGCAGCAGGTGCCAGGGTGGCCTCCTTCGTCTGTCTCACCTGTCTCCCCTCCCACTCCAGGAAGCAGATGCCAATGGAGGATTCTGAATGCAGCTCCGATGACACCAGCATCTCCCCCATGTCATCCACTTTGTTGAATCCCATCAAATTGGCCGTGACCCAGCCCAGTAGCAGCTTCTTTGCAGGGATGCTGGAGGGCGAGCTGAACAAACTCAGCTTCTCCTCGATGGGCAAGAGTACAGAAAAGGGGGACCTGGCCCTCTGCCCCCAATCTAAGTCCCAAATAGCCCCTTGTGGCCTGCTGGACCTTGACAACCCTGAGGTGGACACAGACACCTCCTCAACACCCTCAGAGTCCTCTGTGGTCCTGGATGTGCCGGAGGCGCCCTTCATCTATGAACACACGGTCAGCGATTCCACGGCTGTGGTGCGTTTTGGCAAAGGCTTAATGGCTTTGCACAAAGCCTTTGTGCATTTGGCAAAGGCTTAATGGCTGCCCCCAACGTGCCAGGCACTGAGCTGAGCTCACTGGGGAATGTGAAGATGCTTGCATCCCGACCTCAAGAACTCTAGCACAAGCTAGAGAGGGCTCAATGCTGTAGGAAAAGTTCAGATCAAGTGCCAATAGGGATTCAGAGGGAAAGAAATATTATTTCCAGGTGCAGAAATAAGCTTTGGTGGCATTTAGTAACATTTGAGCTGGGACACAGAGGTCGGATTTAAACATCTAGAGATGGGGAAAGGCATTCCGTGGAGGGCTGACACTAGCAGAGGCTCACAGGTGGGAAAGTATGGAAGGAAACACCTAGGTCCAATCCAGGGCTTCTCATACTTTCCTGTGCTTGCGGATCTGATCATCTAGTTACCAATAAGATTCCTGGGCTTCATCCCTAGAGGTTCTAATTCAGTAGGTCTAGGGTGGGGCCTGAGACTCTGCACTGCTAATATTCCCAGGTGGTGTTGATGGCCCATGGACCACATGTCGAGTAGTTCTAGATACAGGGAGGGAAAAGAGCAGGAGTTAGTCTGGGGTCACTTTCCAGAGGTCCTTTAATGTTATGCTACGTTATAGATTTTTCAGTAAGCAATAACGATTAGCTTTTTGCAAAGCTTTATATCAGGTGATAGATGCAATTTGAGCTATATTTTGGAAGATGAATCTGGAAGTCCCATTGTTGGATGGCCTAGAGCAGTGTTTCTCAGTGTGGTCCCTAGACCACCAGTAGCATCAGCATCATATGGCAACTTATTAGAAATTTAAATTCTCGCTTTCCCT